GGCGCGTAAAAACACTGGCCGGCGAAACCTCCCTCTGAAAAATACAGTTGTCTCGTTATCTGCGCTTGTGCTCTACATTTGTCATAGGGAATGCCCCGAGTACTGCAGAGAACCAAGTCAACTAAACTGCAGATCTCCCTTTGCTTTCTAAGGCAGTGGGCAAATCCGAAGTGCTACGGGGCGTTCGCGTTAGAAGGAGCCGAAAAGCGCACAGTAAAACAAAGGCTCGCAACACGGTCATCTGAACCTGGCTGGAATGCCGTAGGAATAACGCTCTCCTCCCTCCCTCCAGCAGACTTCAGCCAAGCAGCCTGGTGGGAGAGCCCGAGGAGGAGTTGCGTGGCTCTACAGCAGGGAGACAACTCTCTCGGAGGAGCGGCGGGGTTACTTACACTCCGTAGGCATCGTGATGATCGTTTCGGTGGTGGCGTGATAGTCATCGTCTTCCAAAGAGCCATCGCTGCTGTCGTCGCGCTGGACGTCATACTGATCAATCAGTTCCTGTAGCGGAGGAGCTTTGGGTAAAAGTTGTTTAATAACATCCCTGCTGATGTTAGGAGCTTGTTCCAGGCGCAGTTTGCTGAGGATCTGAATTTTTATGGCTTCTATTCTGGAAGATTTTGTGTTCTGTCTCCACGTACAAGCGTTGCACAGTCCATCTTTTTCGGTGTTCTCTGTGGGCTGATTACTGTCATCAAGAGCCACCGGATCAACTGAAATCAGCATGAACAGGTAAATATAAATATAGATTGCTGGCTTTTGCATGATCTCACATTCAGTGCAGCGCTTTTCCCCTTTTCTTCTTTTTTTTTTTTTCCTCCCTCCCCCTTTCCCCCTTTCCCTTTCAGTACTAAACAGATCCGTGAAGGCAAATGCAATCCGAGAGACAGCTTGCCACACTGGTGTACCTTATATATTCCAAGGGGGCTTTTTATACTCCAACTTTGATTAGGCTCATGTCGTCAAACCCGACGATTGGTTGCTGTCCCAACAATGAATCTGGCTGTCAGAGGGTAAAGCCCTGTCGATCACAAGTCACTAGACAGCGTTTAGTTACAGCCAAGGGTGAACTGATTTATCTGGGTGCTGCGCAGAGGATATGGCTTCGCATACTGGAGGGATATATTTCCAAGTATTGTGGGCAGCAGTACTGAAAGACAGCACTGTCATTCTTAAATATATACCAGCCGTGTACTTGCACTATGAATCAAGACAGAGCTCTCTCTCTAAACTTGCTTTAGGCTTCTGCCAGTCTTTTTGACTTGAAAGTTTGGGCTATTTAAAAGAAAATCCCCAGGGATTACTGTTAACAGGCAGGAAAAAAAAATACTTTAGAAGTGCATTGCAAACAGTGCTAATTTGTGGTGTTCAACAGCTAAAACATGTGCAGCAGTTCATATTGCAGAAAACCTTAATGGGTTTTCCTGCTAGGTGCTAGCTAAAGCAGTAATGAAGATTTTCTGCGTATGTGACTCTATGTAAATGAATATCTTGTTTGTTTGTCCCTTTAGCGTATATCAAAATCAACAGAACAAATCCTGTACTGAATTAACAGGCAGTTAAGAAAAATGAGTGTGTCCCCTATTCGTACTGTCACCAGGTCTGCAGAATCCTGAGCAGTAAATTAATTATTGAGAGATCTTCAGTAGCAATGGTGTTTTTAAGGAATGTCTTTAGCTACTCGCTCTGATATTATACAGAAATAGTCCCTGTTGCCTTTTCCGTTGTTAGTGGAAGCATTAAAAGACTTAAAACATTTAAATCTCTACTGTGAGTGTATCTTCTTTTTCCATGTCATCTTTTATTTCTGCTCTTTCCATGTCATCTTTTATTTCTGTGTCTCTGTGTTATGCTAACTTAAGTGCTGCCTTTCTGTCCTTTCGTTTGCTTTCTGCTCAAATACTTGTAAATTCTCTACATCCTGCTTATATTTTTAAAATTAAAGTTTTAATATGCTTTCTGCAAGCTGGCAGAAATCCTGGGGTTTGTATATATCGTATCTATTTGTATATTTGGAATCTGTGTATTACAGAAAACAGAAATCCTGGAATTTCATGCAGTATGCCAAAGTTTGCCTATCTAAGGTCGTGAGAAACTGACAATTCAGTCCTGAGTTTCTGGGCTTTTTCCATTGTAAGCACACCTGAAAATGTGGCAAACAGGGGTTTTTTTGCCTATGTTCATGTAGGAGAAACGCTGGCATATGGAAAGATGTGGGACAGAACTTTCCAAGAGCTTTTTTTGTCTGCCTGGTCATTCATATTATTTTGTATCCCCTCTCCAGGGCATGCAAATTCACTGCGCAGCCCAGAACTGAGCCAAATACTCAGCTCATGACCAGTGACGTAAATCACGAGTATTCAATCCAAATTGATTGTCCTGCCCTGGTGTAAAGTTGATGCAAGCGCTAGATGTGTCGTGTTCACCCATTCCAAGCCTACAGCTTTAGGGTCAGACCCTGATATTCTGATTTCAGCCAAAATCCACAGTTAAAGCAAGCAGTTTGACCTCTTAGCCCCTGAGCACTTGTTTTTTACACAAGATACCGGTGCAGCTACACTCAACATGGGGTAACATAAATGGGCTCGTGGTTCTCTGGAGCTGGAAATCGGGATGGGTCTGAGTGTGCAGTGGAGACTGCCTGCCGTGCCTATAACGTATTTCAAACAGGTTCTTAGTGCATTTCCAGTGCTGGAAATGTATTTTTGTGGAAGATGCATAGGATGATTCACAGTAAGAATCTTTTTGAAAAGGGCTGAACCTGTTGGTGAATTTTGGGGGGGGGTTAGGTTGGGGTTTTTTGTTTGCTTACTATTATGACAGCGAATGTTGTAATAAAACTATTTTTTACTAATTTTTATTTTAAACTGGAATGACTTCACCAGTTGGTTATAAAAGAGAATGTACCCCCAGGTGGAAACCTTGACAGATACCAGGTTTCACACCAGAAGCGGTTTTAAAGAGAACAGTGATCCATCAATACACAGGTGGAAATAATGATGCAGTCCTTAATATCAGAGTAATAAAATGCCCTGGCAGCCGGTGGCTGGAAGCTGCTCATGTTGGAGAGGGGACAATAGAAGTGCTCAGCACAGCAATGCTTCCAGCACCGTGACTCCTCTCTTTGGAGGTGCTCCGCAGCAGCTCGCCCGGTGCCCAGTGGCCATGCCGCTACCTGCCCAGCTCCTCCTTCTTCAGGGTCTTCCCCCTCGAACCGTGGCTTGCCGTGAGCACGCAGGACTTCAATTTACTTTTTCTAAGAATTCAATTGATCTGCAAAAAAGGGTCCCTTTGGCATTTCTCCATGACAGCAGGACCGACGTCCTCTCTTGCGTGCCTGAATCCCCAGTGAGCTCGGAGCAAGGACCGTGGTGGCAAACGGACCCTGCTGAGCACCACGCCTTTGCTCACGATCGAGAAGTCGGAGGCAGTGAGAGCAGCTGGAGCGGCAGCGTAGGGACTGCCACCAAGGATGGGAAAAGTGCCCCAGGACTCGCCAGCAGCTGCGTAACCAAGAGCAATATTTTGCCAATATTTCCCTCATAAAATGCACTTCGTATCCACATGCTCTGAAGAAGTCTGTTAGCAGAATACCTTGCTCTTCATCTTTTGTTGTTGCCATCTGTTTCTTTGTTGTGAGACTGCAGGAATTTGGAAGAGAGCTTAAACAGTTGCACTTGATCAGGAGCTGTTGAAGTATCTAATTTCTTTGATAATACTGCTACAACAGGCAAATTGTTTTTCTTTCTGACTTTCATTGCGGTGTTTTTGGAAAGCGATGACTGCAGAAATAGGTGACAGAGGTGAGAAAAGCGAGTGATAAAGCGACCTGGTAAAAGTAGTTCCAAAAATTTATTTGGCAAAAAATAATTTCAAAAAACCTCCCCAAACACCCGACACATTACCACCAGCAAAACTAAAGAAGAGTTAAAAATGAAACGCACATCTTACTGAACTTTATGGCATTTTAATATTATCTTTGGGACTTGTGTCATTCTACCCGCTGTGCCTGCCAATAGTGAACAGTATTCCCAGTCCTAGCTATTCAGAGATCATGGCTCAGGCCCCCAAAATTGAGCCATTTCTAAAGGAAGAAGACACGCATCTGTCTACCTGTCAACTTCTCCTCCCCTTTCCCCCTGCCGCCAGGAGCTTTTGTACTCAATGGAAAACCTAAAAAAAAAAAGGAGGGAAAAGAACCCCAAACCTGCCCCCAACTAAGGTTTCAAAGACGCTGCGTTACTGCGAGCTTTATGGAAAAACAGCGACTGTGTGGAGGAGAAGGAGATTAGTAACGCCCTCCCTGAGGAGAAGGCAAACGGAGCCCAACCATTACCCATCCTTTTTGGCAGCCTTTAATTAGCCAATCAGCGTGTGCGTCTCCATCGTTAGTCAGCGTGCCGATAGCTCGGGACCATCTACAGGGTGTCATCCCTTGCCGGGCCAGCGACCCAGAAAAAATAGATAGGGAGCAGGATGGGATTTGAGCTTATTTTGGAGGTGGACCAAGTGGACATGGAAGGGAACCAGGATGTTTCTGAGAAAAGGGAGAGTTACAGGGGTAGGAAGGAGCAGCTCTCGTGGCGGGGAAGGAGAGGGACACGGGTTATAACCCTGACAGAAATCGGACGGCTTCGTCCTGCTGTAGGCTAGATTTCCAAACGCTTCCTTACAGCCTGCAGGACCAGACATTTGCTCTGCTTTTTTCTGCGGTTTTAGTTAAATGGAATAGTTCCCGTAAGTGATTCACCCCAGAAGGTAGCACTTGAAGATAATAATCAGGTGGTGTGATAGTGGTGGATTGTCCTTCTCTGGAGATATTGAAGACCCACCTGGACAAGGTCCTGTGCAGCCTGCTGTAGGTGACCCTGCTTCGGCAGGGGGTTGGACCAGATGACCCACAGAGGTCCCTTCCAACCCCTAACATTCTGCGATTCTGTGAAATGCACTTTAAATCTGTGATTGCTGTTTCCACTGGTGTCCGGTCCTACCTTGGAACCAGCTGGCTTCTCTCCCTGGTTTGTTTTCTAAGGAAGATAGAACATTCCTCCTGAGCCGCTGAGGAAGACACTCTTTGAGTCACTTTTTCCCTCCTTTCTGTCAACACAGAGCCTGATTTCTAGAATAGCGTACTGAAATGGATAGGAAATTCCATTTTTAAGTATTTTTGGACCATATTCACCTCTCACTTAGCTGCAATAAGCTGGGAATAGTGTTTGTGATGTAATTTTGGTGCTTGCTCTTAGCCACCTGAATAGCAAGATAAATGCATTACTTTGAACCTCAAAGCAGATACAAGGTCACGTCTATAAAACATCTAGACAGAAATCTTGCAATAACAGAAAGCCCATGAAAACATCACCCCAATCGCATTGTGTAACCTAAACCTGCAGCTACTAAAAGGCAAAAGTAACCACTTTCGAAATTAAGCTTATTAGAATGAGCTAAAATATGAAATCTGTAGCTAGTATGAGTTCTTGCTCTGTAACAAATGCCCTGGAACAGTTTGTCCTCTGCTATACGTTTTTTTTCCCCTACAGAAGTAGTCATAGATAAACCTTCTAAACATTGTGCAGTATCAGCTACTGGAAGTCAACTTTATTTCTTTATTTTGATGGTATGGACGTTTACTTCCTTCAACTTACCAAAAAAAGAAGTAAGTTCCTCTTGTTTTCACCGGTTTTGAATTCCAGGTATCGGAGCGTATTTCACGCAGGAGAAGAGCGTGCATGGTGCAGGGTACAGATGCCATGGTACGCTGGCATC